CTAAGACAATATTTATGAAAGGTAGTTTATGGCTAAATTAGACTCAGTATATATGTAACTATGTACCTCTCAGAGGAATGTCTGCATGGACCCCACCAGCACTCTAGTCTAGTTCACCAGATTCCGGAAATAAACTTATCTTGTTTATATGCTTCTTGGGTCAAGGCATTTCATTATAGCAGCCTGTATAGGCTAAATTAGTTTTTCCAACTTCCCTACTTTACTTTTTTCCTTGAGTTTTTCATGATTGCAAAGTTGTAACAAGCAGAAGATTTCTTTATGGTCTTCAAATTTTAAAGCAACATTTATTTTTTTAAATAAGGAAATCAGTGAGACTTCAAAAAGTTGTTTTGAAACAGAAACTGCAAAAATACATCAAGTTGTGAAATTAGTGCTCAAGATAATCTACCCAGTTAACTGAGTTCCCGAAGGGCCTTGCTCACCTTAAATATTCTCCAAGCTGGACAGACTAGAGCTTCAGGGACTGCCCAGAGTTGGGAAAGGTTGGAATATTGCTGGATCGGAACTCAACAGTCTTGGGCTATCTTAACCCCTTAGTGATTGATTGCCTACCTATGTGTGTGTGACCCAACAACTTTGTAAATATTAGGTAAGTCCTGCTGGAATGTACAAACAGGTCCCTCACTACCACAAACCCAATCTAGAGGTTACGGAAGATGCCGGGTAGCATCTGAAGCCTGGAGAGGCTCCCCCACTTTGCTGTAACTGACTTACCTGATGCTTCTATCACCGTATTTGAAAAGCAGCTTAATTTAATGTATATTTTGTTTGAGGTAAGCTGAATCCAAGTTCCTGCCTCACATCACTCATTCTTGGTTATAGAATAAACCATCTTTTACTCCCCTTGAGATGAGAGTTGCACTTCTTATTTTGTTGCTTTCATTTCAAAGCTGAAAAGGGGTTTTAAACATATAAATGTCTTCACCATGTTAAGCATGGCCCACTTTCTAAGACAGTGTCAACTGTACATTTGACTTTTTGGCACTGTTACTACTGGAAATGACACACATATAAAACGTCGTACTTCACAGGGTTCCTTTTGTTTGGTGGGACCCACACCTTCGCATCTCCAGTGTCACAGTCACAGACCTAGACAGCTGAAGGGCCAGAGGCAAGGAGAATGCGAGCTGATGGTACTGAGATTAATTTCGCTGCCCTTGGATTATAAATCACAAACTTGAGTCAATGATATACGTTTAATTCCAAGCAGTTAATCAATTCAGACTAAACCATTAGGCACTCCTGCTCATTTGGCTTAGCACTGAGCTTTGGCTGTGAAGCACGGGTTATGAAGAGAATGCTGTGAGGATTCAAACAATTTCAAATATGCCCAGCGCTTAGGAGCAAGGCCAACAAAAATACTGCAAATGGATGGATAGCTTTATTGCAGGTGTCTTGATATTGTAGCATTTTAGTCACTCGGGGTAAAAGACTCCAGGCCATGCTACATCAAACTAAGATCCACGTGAACTAGAGATTTGGCCACAATTCAGGGTAGGAATGAAGGCTTGGGTGTGGGTTACAGCTGTTTGCTTTCTGTTCCTAAAATATATGAATTCTCCCAAGGGCGTGGGGTTCTAAACAGGCCACTTTACACTTGAGCTCGGTTGGAATTCTCAGAATTGACTTTCCATCTGTTAGTACCTTAGATTCTAAGGCCGCATGGTCAAGTGCAAAACGAGACAGTGAACGAGCCACTCAACAATGCAAGATTTTACTCCAGATGGCTGGACCCAGACACCCAAGCCCTGCCTACAGTGGCCTGTCCTCCACTTTCATCTGTTTATTTCAAGGAGACATGGTGGGGGGGGGGATACGGGGACAGGACAGGACAGGATGTCAGCTGTTGATGCTTGAATGTAATTTCCTAGCACTGTTATAAATCCTGAGCTGGAGTAAATGATATAGTTTTAATTGCCTGAGAAGTTAATTATTCAGCCTGAGCTATTAAAACATTTCTGCTCATCAGATGTAGAACCGAGTTTTACCCAGTGTGAGACCCAGTGTCTTGTAAACTGACCAGTCCTCACCAGGCAAAAAGCACTTGTCTCTTTCTGACCTCTGACAGAAGACTGCTAATTCATTCCTCAGTGGTCTGGCTATTGTGTGTTCACATTTAGAAAGTTCACGATAGCTTCAAGTGGCGGTGAGGGTGGTTGGTGATGACGGCGGCAGCGGTGGTGGTGTTATACCTCACAATGAATGCATCCTAGGATAACCAAAGTGAACCTACCCGCATCACGTGGGTTGGGAATGGAACCATGGCTTCTCAAGGACAGAAAGAAGAGCGCTAACACGGGCAGGGGCACTGACACTGGGCCTGGAAACAACCACTGAAAGTAAGCTGTTACGTTCAAAATAAAGTTAAAGAAAAGAGGGACCAGGGAAACCTGAGTCTAATCTCTAGAACCCATGTTTTGTTTGTTTTTAAAAGGCCAGCCAGGGCTGCTGAGATGTCTCGGTGGTTAAGGTCATCTTTAACTCGAGTTCCTGGGGGACCTGATGCCCTCTTCTGGATCCCTGCAACTTAAGTTACAGACAGTTGTGAACCCCCATACAGGCGCTAGAAACACAACTCAGGTCCTCCAGAAGAGCAACAAGTGTCCTTTAAGCACTGAGCCATGGCTCCAGCCCCACCTGGTGGGGGTTTTAGGAAACTGCACATTCTTTAAAGCCTCCTTTTCTGATTGGGAAGGAACTAAAGGCATTTTTTCCCCTAGTATGCAAAATAAAGAGGTGATGAGTGACCAGACACAAATCCACGGTCCCCGACTTCCTGTCCAGCAACCCTTTCTCAATGCAAGAGAATGGAGCCAAAATATCTCTACTTCATAAAGTCATATATAGTTGTGTTGCTAGGGGTGGGGTGGGGGCATGTGTCCCTGCAGGTATCACAGTCCTCAGGTACACAGGAACCTTGAAGAGGTGAGAATGAAAACAGCTGCACTTGGTCAGTCAGACTAGAGCAAAACTTGTAAGGCAGTGGTTCTCAACCTGTGGGTCATGACCCATTTGGGAGTCACACAGCAGATATCCTACATAGCAGATCTTTATATTACAACTCATAACAGTAGCAAAATTAGTTATGAGATAGCAGCAAAATAATTTGACGGCTGGGGGTCACCACATGAGGAACTGTATAAGGGTTGCACCGTTCGGAAGGTTGAGAACCACTGATCTAGAGTCTGTCCCCATGGTTTAATTTCCTTACACATTTAAACGCAGTGAAACTGGGGGTGGGGGTGTCCTCCGCCTGACAATTCTAACAAAGCTTCAGGGGTGGCTTCATCGAAATTCCCTTGCAAAATATAGCACAGCACCTGAGACCTTTACCCGAAGAACGAGCTCTATTGATTGGGAAACAGTGCTCAGGGTTAGGGCCTAGAGGAAGGGTTTGTAATAAGCTTAGGGACGGCTTCTGTTGATGGAGGTTGCAAAGCACACGGGGCACGCAGCCCGGAACAAAGGATTACAGGGGTTTTTCTACCACATTCACTGCAGTCTTCCGGGTGCCCAGGCTCATCCCCCCCTCCTTTGAAGAAAGCAGCCTTAACAGCCCTGCTCCCTCCGGTGCTCACTCTAGGCCGTACTCCCTACAGAGCTGTATAAAACGGTTGTTTGCTTGTTTTTTCCTTAGATTTAAAGCCAGGGTCTTTAGGGGAATATTTTTGGGACACAAGTTAATTGGGTTACTGTATCAATTGCTGTTCTCCAGAGAAACAGGTGCAATCTGTTATGTAGATTATGTAACACATCAAGGTATATGCTTCAGCAACTCTTACTGAAGCAGTATATGGTGGCAAAGACCAATTGTTAGATGCTGATTTATTGCATTGTTTTAGTAATTCAAAGTATTGTTTCTATTGCCTATTTGCCAAGCAAGACCTCACTTGCCCCTAAACAGAATGACCTGGAGAAATAGCCAAAACAATAGTTGTTGCTTTACAACCTGCTGACTGCTTATGATCATCTTGCTTGCCGCCTGCCTACCCTCTGAGGTTTCAGAGTAATGCCAACTGCACCCAATCCCAAGGCCTTTCCGCTGTCCTGGCTTCAGTCCACCCGTGACATCTCTCTTCCCCTCTCATTGGCGTTCAGTGCTTATTCCAGAACGATTCTGGCAACACTACCAATGAGAAATGAAGAGGCAGGACATGGCTCGTTCACCTGGCAAAAGCCTGGTGAACAGAGTTGGATGCCCAGGACCCATGTGAAGGAGGGAAATGAATTCAGCAGGCGTCCTGACCTCCCTCCACACCCTGGCACTCACACACAACATTCTTTTAATTCTAAAAAGAAGTTTGCTTTCCACCACTTTGAAAACACCTAAGACAGCCAGCTTTCTAAACTAAAGGGTTATTTGGCTCCTAGATTCATAAGCTGCTGGGTCTATGATGTTTATTTTCAAGGAGATACCAGCAGATGTCAGCAGAGTAAGTCTTCTCATAGAGTGACCATAGCTTAAGTGGAAAGTATACTGTGAAAGGTCAGTCCAGAGAAGACACACCCCCCTTTCCATACTGCCAACCAACCTTTAATTACCTTTTGGAGGTGAGGAGCATGAGCAGAGACTGACTGGAATATTGATTTCTGGGCAGTAAAACTTTCCCAAAGTCTCAAAATATCCTGTTAACCAAGAAACAAAAAATCCACACACCAAACCACAGACAGGACACTTTTCAGTGGCAAGATGGCTCAGTGGATACAGTGCTCGCTGCTCATGGGAGGATGGGCTTGGTCCCCAGCCCATCCCTGTAATGACAGAGCTCAGGGTGACCCCTGCATAAGCTGACTAGCTCATACAGTCCAATCACCAAGCTCCAGGGCCCGCTCATCACCCAGCCTCAGTAAATGGAGTGGCAAGTAACTGAAACATCCAAGTCAATCTTGGGGGCTGCACATCATGTGCACACTCACACAATAACATGTGTGTGACTGGATATGCATACACACACTTAAAATAATCAACTGCGAGCCTGTCATTTCTAAAATACAGTCTTTATTAGTTTACTCAAGATCAAACATACATTTGTCTATAAACACTGCAATGTGCTCATGTTGGGTTTCCAAATGGACAAAGACCAGCAAAATGTTCATGAAGTTTCCACTTGAAGAAAGTTACTACTGTTCATAAAAAGATCTATTCAAAGGAATGCTGAAATATAGACATTTTATATATAGTCTTTTCTTCATCAGAAATACACTCCCACTGCAAGCAAAATGCCTACGACTTAGCAGTGTGGGGACACATGCATGTCACCCCAAGGAGGCTGAGGTAATGAGAGTACAGAGCTCCAAGGACAGCCTGTGCTATATAGCAAGGAAAACAAACACACAGAAAACTCTCTAAAGTACTGTAGAGTCCTAATTCACATTTAGGAGCCAAAAAAGAAACAAGAAAAAAAAATTGACTAAAACCAAATGATCCTAGGGATTAAGATAAGACTGGAGTCTACCTACACCCCTACAAAATATTCCCTTAATTCAAAATAAACAATTTGGCCTTTTAATTTAAAAATGTAGTTAAAAATTTTCTGCTCAGCTGAAATTCAGATCCAAGACCTAATTAGCTTCTGATACCTGGGCCAAAGAGAACATTCAATTCCAAGTTGAAAATGGTCTTTTATCAAAGAAAAACCAGTGAGTATAAAGATAACAAAATGAACAAAGATGGTGCTCTAATGGTGACTACACAAATTTAGCTGTAATGCTACGCATATTTTAAATGCCAACAGTTTAACTAAGATAGTGTACTCAGGAACAACAGAACCTTGGTTTAGTGGCTGTCTTTTAAGTAACAGGAGCCTTCCAAAGCTTTAGTTATGAAGTCTGGAGACACTTCCCATGCCCTACAAACACCCATACAGATTTCTCCCCAAGATAACAATATCCAGAAACTTTATTTCTATTCCACAAGTTCTAGTTTTTCCATTTTTTCCCATCACCTCTTGAAGGGACATTTTTAGAACTCTCAACCTTGACTGTTTGGGTATATAGCTCTTAATGCTGTGATTATGTGAAAAAAAAAATAGCCCCATAGGCCCATACATTTGAATGCTTAATCACCGGAGTGACACTATTTGCTAAGGATTAGGAGGCATGGCCTTGGAGGAATTGTGTCACTGGAGGTTTCAAAAGCCCATGTCAGGCCCAGGCTCTTTTTCTCTGCCCGTGGATAAGAGTGTAAAGGTCTCAGACTGCTCTAAACATCTGTCTGCACGCCACCACCCTCCCTACCATGATGATAATGGACTAAGCCTCTGAACTGTAAGCAAGCCCACAATAAAATGCTTTCTTTTCTTGTCTCCGTCCAGCAACTATGACAAATGTGCAGCCATTTATGTACTATACTTATGCTTTACACATAAAAAGAGGAAAGACTTTTTCCCCAGGAACAAGCTTTCACCAAGAATGCATAGATTCGAAAGTGAAAAGCTGTTAGTGTAGTGAGCATCTATGTTCATTTTCAGTTGGAAGAAAAGGAACTGTATTTTAGCACTTAGGTATCTAGATTATCTTCAAAAGAATCTAACACTCAACTACTCTGTTGTATGGAGATCAATTTTTGTATCAATTTTTTGTATAGGCCCTGTTCCCAGCTAAGGGCTGGGCCTATACGCACAAAGTGAGGGGCCACACCACCAGAGAAACACTAGTGATCACAGAGAATGAGGACTGCTACGACCTTTAAATATCCAAAGTATCAAAGGCTTGCAGCTATAAAAGGATAAGAAAATTAAAGTTTGTTTATTAAGAAATGGAGTTTTGTTTTACTGCCCCTAATTAGTCTGAATAGTGTTAGCCTGTTTTGTTAATAACAATAAATAGGAACCTTTCTGACCATTCCAATATTGTGAAATATCTATTTACAATAAATAACCTTGAATGTGAAGTTTTCACCATCATTTTTCCTGGGACAATCAATCTTCCTGCTCGTCACAGCCATTTTCCTCAGCAAGATGGGCAAGTTTCCACCACCAGGTTCCTCTGACGCATGTCTGTCTCCAGAACTGTATCAATACTTCCGTTGTCTACAATTCCATTTACGACTGATCCAAATTTACTTCCAGAATGGTCAAGGCTCACTTCTTTGCTGGTCAGTTATTTGGGTGATCACTTTTGTAAAATATCATATGGGTGACAGGGAGATAACAGACCATATGCTTTGCTGTAAGTGAATTAAATAACAGGTGTACAGACAGCAACAACTGGCAGAGCGGAAAAGCAGCTCGCGATTGGCACAGAGCACGGAGCGCGGTGGCTAAGCACACCCTGACTTCTGCAGGAGTTATAACTCCATGCAGCTAACAATACCCTGAGGTAAACCCAAATCTGCTTGAGGCTGCTAGGAGATGGGTGGGACTCAACTAAATCACCACTACTGAAATCTGTGCCTATGGGAACCCTACAAGGTGCAAGCTACCTACACTTGTTAGACTGACCAAGACAACCTTAAAGCTGGCCCTGGAGAACAACCCATCTAAATTAACATCTACCGTGAAGCACCGAAATGAAACCAAGTTCATACTGAAGCGCTTCAGATTTACTTTTCAACAATTAGGCTATAACTGAATTTCAAAGCGATAGAATTTCAGAAAAGAGAGAGGTTTAAAATCCCCATAGTTTGATACTATAAATTACCCAGCATGTTTATTATGGATTATTTCTCCTCCTTCAATTTCTATTTGCTCATACAGCCACTTGCGGTCGCAGCGGCATTCAGCCCCACATTTGGTAGAGCCACAGGTGGGACAGGCGTAGAAGCATCCCAGGCAGTCCTCATCAAGGCAGTCACAGAGGTCCATGCCACTGAAAATGAGCAGACCCTGGCTGTCGTAGACTTTACTCTTCGCTGGAATAATTTGTCTGTAAAATAAAACAATGGGCTTCACTTCATACATATTATTTTTGAATATTTAGTTGAAAAATTAGTGAAAAGGCCAGAAGATGGCTGTTGAGGTCCTTATAGTTAACTCAGGGCAGGTTAGGTGGCTCAGATGGGAAACATGCTTGATATGCAAGCCTGGTAACGGTGATTCCTGGACCCAAGGCAGGAGGCAAAAACAGACTCCAGCTTTCCTGACTTACTCACACACGAGCATGGGATAAACATGCATCTGTACACATACATAGTTGGGTGTGTACACAACATAATTAGGAGAAAAAAGGATTCCATAAGGAAATGTCTCCCTAAATGACTTCACACAAGCTTACAAAGGGATAGAATGAGTAGCAGGTAGTGACTTTTACTAGTTACCAAATGACAGTGCTTGTGAACACAGGACACAACCTCCCCAGAGGTCTTAAACTCTAATCAATCTGTTTCATGTTTCTTAATGACTTCTGACAAATCTCATCTGGAAATATTTTTAAATCACTCAATGGAAAAACCTAGCAGATGGAATAAAAGTAAAAATGTCAATTCCAGTTAGAAACTAGCCCGACCTGTTGCAATAAATTTGTCAATGCTTTTTGGACATACTCAACTTAAAGGCATATTTTAAATGACTTAGTTCTCATTCATTCTGTTGATTGTACTAGAACTATGTGTCTACTTTGGACCTGTGGAAAATCGAAAGTACTCCGGGGTTCTTATAAATGCAGTGAGCTTTGTGCCTGACCTCTCCCAGGAAGCAGATATATCAAGGAGAGATTATCAGAATTAAATTTTGCAAACAGTAACTTGGTCAAACTCTAAGGTACTTCTTCAACCACTTTAACTCATTTCAAAACATTACTTCATTCACTTCATGCCACCTTCTCAGAAAGAAGCTTCTAGCATTTGAATGGACGCTTTACTTTCCTATGAGTAACAGTCAAGGCTTTCAGAAGGTTTTACTAACAGTATACAATTTAAAATGACTTGTCAGAAAATGGAAAGTTAAGAGAAAAAAGTACAGTGACTGCCAATTAGAGCTGACAGCCTACTGACTGAGAGCCAGCAGCCTACCTGTCAGAGCCAGCGCTCGAGTTCTTGGTGAGCTTCCTTTTCTCCCTTTTACCACCTTCTGGAGCAAATTCTGTTTGCTTTCCCGGGTTTGTGAACTGCAGTGACCTCAGAGCTTTAGCAGTTCTTCCCTGAATGAAAGGAAGGAAATTACAAATGTAAATCTGGACACCAAACAGTAGTACTTGGCATTAATCCAGCATATCTGCACCTGGGAAGGCAGTTTGGAACATATACAAAAAGGGACGTGGGAAAGCCCAGTCTTCTAGTCTATTTCCCATGCTACGTTATACTCTTGGACAGCAGGTACTGGAGACTGGCACAATGAAGACAGCAATGGCTGCCACCACAGGGCAGCAAAAACCACGACACAGACCAAGGTTCCAAATGACAATTCTTTGTCCTTCAGAACCCCTCCCTTTAAGAGAGAAGCAGCAAGGCTTCCTGTTCTGAACTGTACTGTAACATATTGTTTTAAGGCTTTGGCAAAACAAAACTCTGAGGCTTAACGGTTTAACGCTGTTATTTGAGGAGGTAAAAATAAGTGGTCCTTTGAAATGTTCATACACCCAAAGTCAAGACTAGGATGGGAGGTTGGTCATGTAAGAACCACGGAGATGAGGTGAAGATTCTGAAATGATAGAATCAGCATCTATGACCTTCACATAGTGCTGGGTCCTAGAGATGGGCCTGAGAGGAACACAATACACACAACTTAAAATTTTTACTTAGTTATTAATTCAGGAAAAAGGAGAAAACTGAGAAAATATGCTAGCAACAATAATTATACAATGCTTATAGAGAAACTGAGAAGTGCTCCTGAGGGTATAAAGACAGCTTCATGATCTCTCAACCCTTCTGATATAGTTAAATGTCCTGCATCTAGGCATCTGAACAGGGAAGAGGCATAACATCTCACACGTCACAATGTAAAGTGTGTGCTCTTTGAGCATTGGGAGCCCTAAATTAAACCTTAACTATATCCAGAACTTGGAGGCAGAAGCATTTGGAAATCAGATATTTAAAATCTTAAACAAGAACGGGGAAATTTAAATGCTATGACTACGGGGCACTGTGACTCATGCCTGGGAATCCTAGAGCCCAGGAGGCTGATAAAGGATCTCGGCCATGAGACTTAGGCCAGTTTTGACTACATGGAGATTTCCAGGCCAGTCAACTACAGAGTAAGCCCCAATCACAAAACCAATAAAAAAATCATTAGCCAGGTCTTTCTTTTTTAAAGCAGTCCTGCACAAAAAAAAAAAAAAAAAAAAAAAAAGACATTCTTCCTGGTGCGCAGTCTCCAATAAACGACACATCCATTTAGCTACTCCAGTATCAGAAAAGGGTCTAAGTCCCCAAGATGGGCTGTGCCAGTTTTCTAAGGGCCACTCCTAAAGTCTCCTTCCTAAGGTCTAAGAATAGAAGCTGTAGCCATGGAATCTTGGGCACACTGCTTTCTCTTTCTAAGATCTTGTTTACTACTTATTCTGGACCTTGAGCGTACAGAAACATTTTGAAATATAATTTCCACCTCAATTTTAAATGTTATATGCTAATGAATGTAATAAAAAGTAAATGATTCCTTACAGTTCCTCTGCCTAGCTTAAGCCCCAAACTGAAGAAAGCACAACAGCATCTAATACATACATCTGTCTCGGGTTTCCGTCTCTGGCGGTCATCGGAATCAACATCCACACTTCCATTGATGATCTGGGTACATTTTGGGCAAAGCTTCCAACCAGGTACCAGCTGTCTTCCAAACTTTGCACTCAGAAACGTGGCATCATCTAAGTCAATTACATGTAGATTCTTTTTGGCTAGCTTTTTGTGTATGTTAAATGGGTCACAACATGACTTTTGTAACTCCTCAAATCTGTCGATATAAATTTTTACATGGTGAAAACAAATTGTATTATTGCCAGAAAGTGTCATTCCAGTCCTAAGCTGAAGTAAAAGCATATCATTTGATGATAACTCTTGCAAAGTCTTGAAACCTGTGTGCCGAGTGTAGAAGGTTTTATGGCAGTCATGTGTGGTCCGAAGCTGGACTCCAACTGAACATGGATCCATCATTCTTGAGTCTAGGAGGTTTCCCCTGTTTTATTTTGTCTAGAAATCTCTTCGGTAAGTCAGCCTAGAGAAAACATTAAAGACAGGTTTGCACTAAAAACTTGATTTGGAACTTCTTTAGAAAACAAGAGCTAAACACAGCAAACAAAGGAAAACCAAAGCCAACAATGAGTAGGAATGTATTTTAATCACGCAATGTGAGAATACTTTGTATCACAACTTAATGCTTAAGGAGAGAAATAGAATAAACAAGAAATATCCCTGAGATAACTGCTTAGAACTAGTGTGCGAGTTAGCAACAATCTTGGCAACCAAAACACTGTATGCTTTATATAATATACAAATGTTGGAAAAGACACAAGACCTTATAGGATTTTACCAGAGTAATGGGCCAAGAAAATGTGAAAGAAGAATGGCTGATTTACTAGAAAGATAATTAAAGACAGCATGGTACTGCTGTCATATAGACAGACACACAAACAGACTAGGGTTTGTTGCATGATGTGGTACTATAAAAAAAGATGGGCATTAAAAATCAAAGTGAAAAGCATTATTGGCTAACATGGAAAAAGACAAAGTTAGATCTGTTCTGAATGAACAAATACTGAATGCAACAAAGAATCACACATACAAAGCTTGAACATTAAAATCTTCACAAGAAAACATAGAAGGCTGCCAGCCCATTGCAGTATGGCTTCTTCCTCTGGGCACAGCATAATCACCCCATAACCATCTTGGAATGGAGATTACTTTGGTCTGGTAACCATAGCAACTGCTGACACAGTGATACTAGAATGACAAAGGAAACACTTCACAGGCTGTCATTCACCATGGAGTGAGCCTCTGAAATATGTAGCTGTTTCAGGGTTACCCATATTCCTACAAATAACCCCAACAATATTCTATACCATAAGCCAACCCTGGCTCACCAGAGAGTACTTTGGTGGGTCATTATTTAGATTTTCAGTTGGTGTCCCATCTGTGGCAGACAGGTATCTCCCCAGGGAAAGGTAATGAAACAAACTGTGGGATCTGCTGTAGATTATACTGCCTGAAATCAGCTGAACAGGCAGAACACACTAGCCCTTGAGAAAGCATGTGTGGGATGAGATGGCAGCTGCTTGGCCGTATGGATAAGACATGCAACTGCTGGGTGACCTAGATGAGATGGAAATGCTTACAGGGACCAAAAACTTGGAATCCAAGGAGATAGTGGGGCAGGGTTGTGAAGGAGAAAACAAGGTAGAAATGATCCTCAATACAGAAGGAAAACGCACAATTCAGTGTGCAGATGGGATCCTTAACAATGGCCCGGAGCAGGAAACTCAAGAGTATTCTGCCTGAACTCCCTCAATTAGACATAAGGCCCTGGGTTCAATTCCCAGGACTGTATTAAAGGGAGCACTCCTACATCTCAGTATTGGAGAGGCAGAATGAATGATCAGAAATTCAAGATCATCCTCAACTACGAAACCCCTGGACCCTGGAGGCCAGTCTGGGCTAGAGACAGTCTCAAAAGAGGGAAAATGTTATCTTGGAACTCAGAAGTTTATATTTAGAAATCCCAGCTCCCCAGCACCCAGATTGCGGATTGCATGGTAGGCAAGGATGACATAGGTGGAGGGACAAATATGCCAGGCAGACAAAGCTTAAGTGAGAAGTTTTACTAGAAGGGGGAAGAAAAGAGAAAAGAGGGACAGAAACGATGACAGAAGAGGAAGACAGGATAAGTCCTGTCTGTCCCAGGGGAACAGCGGGGAAGAGAGGGGAGAGGAAAGCGAGAACAAACAGCATAAGCAGACACAGATCTTTCTTTTAAAGGGGTCTTTTTCACCTAGACTGACCAGGGTACTCCCTGACTGTATTTTGCCAGATGACAGGCAGACAAGCAGAATACCTGAATCCTTACATGCAAGTATAGGGTCAATTGTTAAACTGCCTGTCCAATCACAGCGTTCTTTTTAAGTGTGTAGGTGTTTTCCTGTAACATGAGTACAATGTTAGAAAGTGAACCTGGAATTGCAATTGTGAGCTATGTGGGTGCTGGGAATTCAACATAAGTCTTCTAGAAGAGCAGCCATCTTTACAGTCCCGTAAGGATCTCTCTGGTGTCATTATTAAACAAGAGTTGTCTATAGAATTATCAGCCAAGTTTGTCAATTTGTGTTACTGATAATGGATTAAAAGATTTTATTGCCGGGCATTGGTGGCGCATGCCTTTAACCCCAGAACTCGGGAGGCAGAAGCAGGCAGATCTGAGTTTGAGACCAGCCTGGTCTACTGAGCGAGTTCCAGGACAGAGTCCAAAACAATACAGAAAAACCCTGTCTCTAAAAACAAAAACAACAACAAAAAAAGATTTTATTTTCATTATGTACTACATGTTGTTAACAAGTTAATTCCATCTATCTGAAATTAATACCTAACTGGGCAACCCTGTACCTTTATCTGCTAAATTTAGCAACCTGTTATCAGAACTTTCTAGTAAGCAGAACCTTTGTTAAAAACTAGCTTCCCAAAGAACTACTTAAAGGAATTGCTTGGGCGGGGCGTTGGTGGCGCACACCTTTAATCCCAGCACTCGGGAGGCAGAGGCAGGCGGATCACTGTGAGTTCGAGACCAGCCTGGTCTACTGAGTGAGTTCCAGGACAGGCTCCAAAAACAATACAGAGAAACCCTGTCTCGAAAAACAAGAACAAAAAAAAAAAAAAAAAAAAAAAAAAAAGAATTGCTTGGTTTAAATGCCATACCTGAGGGTTGCCGTGTCTTTGTCAGACAAGGCTGTTGGTAACAGACAGATGGCTGTGTTAGCCACACAAGCATAAGGACCCAGGTGTCATCCCTAGAACCCACCAAAGCAGGAAACGTGGGTGTTCTGATGCATTATCTGTAATCATGGTACTGTGGAAATGGAGACGGGAGGATCCCTGGGGCTTGTTGACCAGCCAATCTAGCTGAAGCAGGGCACCCCAGCCAGAGCAAAGAGACTCAGAACACAGAGAACAATGGAGAAAGACATTAAAAATCAACCTCTGGTCTGTGTACACCAGCCCCGCCCCCACAATCTGATCAAACAAACTGCTGCAGTAAAAATGGACTCTACAAACATCAAAATTCAGTGACCTACCATTACCACTTACTTGGGTAAACTATCAGTGTAAAAGTGCACACGCCAGTCAGCCCATGTACTGTCAAGAGTCAGGCTAGCAGACCTTTAGGCAGTCAACCATCTTGAGCGATCACATTCTGCCTTCTAAAACTCACACATGGGCTGTTCCTCCTGTTCCATCCCTCATTCCAGCTCTTTCTGTTCCTCTAGGCTGAAGTTCTGCCACACAGTCCCCACCAACTGCTTCCTTACTCATTTGGTTTGTGTGCTGGGGACAAGGCCTACAACCACTGAGTCATTTCAACAGCTTCATGCCGCTCTGTTAACCCGTAAAGCTGTTCTGTTCTTCCAGGACACTGACACAACCCCCGTAACTAAGGGTCAGAAATATGGGGCTACCTCCTTACCCCCTTCACTAGTAGCTCTCTGGCTGTCCCGGAACTCAGGAGATCTGCCTGCCTCTGCCTCCCAAGGGCTGGGATTAAAAATGGGTGTCAATAAGTCAGCTCAGAAACACTATTATATACTGCTTGTAGTATTCTCAGACCCAGCATAAACCAGAATCCCACCAGGGGATGGACTCTGCAGTACACAGGTGGTGGGGTTCCATGGAATTCTCTAAGTCACTTCGCATTATGTCAGTCTAGTCTATCTATACCTTTGTTTCCCCATGAACATCTTACCAGTGAAATATCGTTTCATCATTTAAATGCTTTTTATCCAGCTACTTGTTGATAAATGCAAACCTTTACCATTTATAGTTGTGTGACAGTAATTACTACCCTTTCCCTTCAGCTGATAACTAGAAAAAGGCTGGTGGCCCATGCCTTCAATCCCAGTCCTTTGGAGGCAGAGATAAGCAAATCTCTAACTCCAGGCCAGTTTGGTCTACAAAGTGAGTTGTTCCAGGATGGCATTGAAAACATCTCAAAAAAAAAAGGAAAAATCAGTATGTTCCAGGCATTCTTTCTGAGTATATAGAGTTCCCAATACGCCGGGTGTTGGTGGCGCATGCCTTTAATCCCAGCACTCGGGAGGCAGAGGCAGGCGGATCTCTGTGAATTCGAGACCAGCCTGGACTACCAAGCGAGTTCCAGGACAGCCTCCAAAGCCAGAGAAACCCTGTCTCGAAAAACAAAAAAAAAAAAAAAAAAAAAGAATTGCCAATACAAGAGAAAGTTTCAGCTGGGCGGTGGTGGTGCACGACTTTAAGGCCAGCACCCGGGATGCAGAGGCAGGCGGATCTCTGTGAGTTCAAGGACAGCTTGGTCTACAGAGTGAGTTCCAGGACAGCCAGGGCTGTTTCAGAGAGAAAAGCTGTCTCGGAAGAAAGTTTCTAGTAACATGTCTGTAACAAACACCACCCCCAACCCCTCTAAAACTTTTTTGCTAATTTTAAGGAAAATTTCCAAGAGTTCTAATACTTTCAGAATTACACCTAGATATTCTTATTGACAAATACTAACACTGAATACATTATACTTTAACTCCCGAATGGCTCAGTGGATATGCAGGCCCTTCTCAGATACCTGTGGTATTGTGTATGTTATCTATTTTGTTTTCCCAAAAACACCTCTGGCAAGTATTTAAATAAACCCCCTGCGCCAGGTTTTTCTTTTTAAACAGCCATTAACTGAATTCCCGGGGATTTCATCCAAGAGGAGGCTCGGGATTTCCAGCATCTTTGTTTATTCACTTAGGAGTATTTCACTGAATTGTTCATCCCCACTGGAAAAAAAAAATACTTCTTAACCCAACTTAAGTATGGGCTGTCTCTAGATCCATCAGGTTTGGCCAATCACTGGTCACCTCGGCAAAATCTCCTCAGAGTAAGCCAGCTACACATTTTCCAACTACTTCCAGACCAAACCGCCTGTTTGCTCAAAACGGTTCTTTCCCTCATCACCTCACAGGGTGAAGGCAGACATTATATAGTGTGTGTGGTTTCCAACCCATGGAAAAAGGTAACTTCAGAATCATCACATCGTATTACTTTGTTAGTCCCAACCCAAGCCTATATGGCTTTCATGCAACAATGCACAGAACGATGCAAAACAGACAGGTCCAACAAACACCTATCATGTACACGGCACGAGGGTAGAAATTAAACAGAAATCCAACCCACTAAGATGGCCAGGGCTGAGAAGATTGTGAATTTAAAACTTAAAGAGGGGGCTAGAGAGAAGGTTCTGCAATTACGAGCACCGGCTGCTCTTCCAGAAAACCCGGGTTCAATTCCCAGCACCCACATGGTGGCTTACAACCTTCTGTCACTCCAGTTTCAAGAGAATCAGATGCCCTGTTGTGACCTCCCTGGATAGCAGGCATGCACTGGATACAGACAAAAATGCAAGCAAAAGCACCCACCCATATAATATTTTTAAAAACTGTTTTTAAAGAGTCGAGCAAAGACCCACGCCTTTGACTCCAGCACTTGGGAGGCAGAGACAGAAGGATTTCTTTGAGTTCGAGGCCAGCCTAGTTTACACGGAGACTGCCGGGACTAAACAGAAAAACTGTCTCGAAAAACAAACCAAACCAAGGAAACTTAAAGAGCCAGGCCTGGTTACCCGTTCCTGTAATCAGCTACTCAGGTGGCTGACAGGGCCGGAGGACAGCTTAGGCAATTCAGCAAGAGCAAGCCCCCACACTGATGAGGCTGGGGGCGGGGGGGGGTGCAGTTTAGCAGTGAAGCCCTGCAGCTTGCGCGAGGGCCCCGGTTCACTCCTACTGCAAGCTACAGAACAGCGGACTGGAGCCCGGAAGCGGACCGGCTGTGGTCAGGGCGCGGCGGGGCGCCTGCCAGGCTGAAGCAAGCTGCAAGCCGCCTCCGCGTGCCCGCCTCCCCTCCCAAGCCTCCTCCAGGCACCCCCACGGCCCCCCGCATTCTAGTGCCCTCCGCAGCGTTCACTCACAGCCGTCAGCCGTCCACCAGAGCTGCCACTGTCGCCGAAAGCACCCTGTCTGTCTGCACAGGCCGGACTCGGCGCTCCACACTGCCTCCTGCCCCGCGCTGACACCGAGAGGACGTCGAGTGCGGCTAGAGAGGCCGCGTGTACCACAAAGACAAGCCGGGAACTGCCTAGAGCGGAAGCCAGGGAGGCCGCCGCTGGCGGTGGAAGGGTTGGGCTCCGGGAGGAGGGGATGATTCAATGCCAAGTAAGAGTTGCTTCAGATGCTCGCCCTGGGGTGTTTCCGGCCTCCCCCGGGGTTCTGGAGTTGGGAGGCCCTTAGCGATCACGGACCTTCTTAACTTCGTTTGCAAATCTTTTCTGTGAGGGAGAGCGGATTTTGGCACCCTTACACCCCCTCACGCTGGAGGAGAGCGACTTAAAAGCAACTCAGGGACAGACACTTTATTTAAAGTCTCGCATTTTATTTGCTTCATTCTAAGTAAACACATTTTAAAACCCTTCTGGCCGGGTGTTGGTAGCACACGCCTTTAATCCTAGCCCTCGGGAGGTAGAGGCAGGCGGATCTCTGTGAGTTCAAGGCCAGACTGGTCTACAGAGCAAGTGCCAGACTAGGCTCCAAAACTACCTGTCTCGGGGAAAAAAACCAAAACCAAAACCAAAAAATACTCCTCCCTTGTACACTATCCTTGAGTAAAATTTAGGCCCCAGGAATTTAACCTTTACATTTTGGGACAGAGGGCAAAAAACCCAAAACAAAACCTAAGCTTTGTGGTTGTTGTTTGGAAATGTAGGTGTTTGTTGTTGTTGTTTTGAGACAGGGTTTCAGTCAGGTAGTTGAAGCTGGAGTCACCGTGAACGCAGAGATTTATTTTGAGATTTTTCATACATGCATGTGACTTGTTGGGATCAACTCCATCACCACTAATGCCATCTAGATGTGTAGGAATGGGTCCATTCTCCTTTTAAAGAATTAAAAGTGCAGCTGGGCCTTAGTAGCATACGCCTTTAATCCCAGCACTCGGGAGGCAAAGGCAGGCGGATATCTGTGAGTTCGAGGCCAGCCTGGTCTACAGAGCGAGTGCCAGGACAGCCTCCAAAACAGTACAGAGAAACCTTGTCTCGAAAAACCAAAAAAAAAAAAAAAAAAAACCAAGCGCGTGGGGTGTGGGGAGCTTAGCCAGAAATCTTGGGGTGTCCCGGCAGAATCAACATATGATACCTTGGGAGTTGGACTCATTCCTAGAGATCTGGTTTTGTTAGTAAAAGAATCAATAATAGACTCAAACAGAAACTCAAGGATACTTTATTAGAGTGTAAAAAGAAAAACCCAGGGCAGGCAAATTGTTAAACTCCAAGTTGCCCCAAGGATGACTAAGAGAAGATAATCATGAAGGGCAGACACTATAGGCAGGCAACCTAAGGATAGGGTAGAGATTCAGAAAAAGAGGAAGTATAGCCAGGTGGTGGCAGCCTTTAATCCCAGCACCCTGGAGGCAGAGGCAGGCAGATCTCTGAGTTCAAGGCCAGCCTGGTCTACAGATTGAGTTCCAGGACTGGCTCCATAGCTACTGAAAAACCCTGTCTTGAAAAAACAAACAAAAAGAGTTAGGGAGTCCAAAGCTAAATTTACGAAGCATACTTAAGCTCTGGCCAGCATCTGAAGCAAAAAGTTGGAAGAAATATACACACCTAGACATAGATTCTACTCCGTTTCCTCCAGCTCCTCCCAAATCCTCTCACCATTTCTCCCTCCCAAAGTCAGGAGAAAGAGAGGGAAACCATTCAGTGCTGTTAGTACTGAAAGACCCCGGCCCAGCACAGGTGGCTGAGGCCTATGGAAAATTCCTTTCCCCCACAGCTCGGCCGAATAGTCATTTTTTTTGATCAGAAAGAAGCTCAGCTCAAGGTCTTTACAGCTGAATAGTCACTACTATCTCTGTCCAGGCAGGACACAGGTGTCTGCTATCTGCATAGCGTCCACATAGCCAGCCCAGAAAGATTGGGCAGGCACAGAAACCTTTTGTTCTTCAGATAGGGCCAAGGCCGAGAATTGAGTTCTGAGAGAAACCTTAATTGCCCTCGTTCTGAGCCCCAGCCTCATTTAAATTACCCAATCAGGGTCCCGTAACTAGGCTTCTCACTTCTGTATTACGCTTTTTGCTATAAAAGAACCCCTGAGTCCCCAGCTCGGGGCTCTCAGTTCCCGAGACTGAGATGCCCCGGGTACCCGTGTATTATCAATAAAGCCTCTTGCTGTTGCATCCAAGTTCGTGGTCTCGGTGTTCCTTGGGTTCGGGTCTCCCTCCCGTGAAAGTCCCCCGCCTGGGGTCTTTCAGTACTTTCTGTGTAGGGCCAGTCATGGAGGAATACCAGGAATTGTAGCACCGAAGAAAACTGATTCTTCCCTAGAATCTATCAAATGCCCCAAACTCCTCAACTAACAGTGGGACTTCATGGGTGAAAGGGGTAAACTAAACTCAAAGGCTTCACTTCTAATAATTTAGAAATAAAGGGACCAGACCCTAACTCAGCCCCCTGCTTTAGTAGCCATGACAGGCCTCTGACACAAGGACTCCAGATCCCCTGGCCTCCCAGAACTTGGACCAAAACTGAACACAAACTCCAGACCACCCCCCCTAGCCTTCTAGATACTTGGTTCTTGGGAACTGTTTGGCCACAAAAGAAACTCCAGGAGGGACCAAAACCTCCCCTGTAGTTTCCAGGATGTAGTTCTGAAAACTATTGGTATCTATGTACAACAGGCCACCTGTAAGTGACAAGACAATGCCATAGAAACCATAGAATGTTCCCTCTCAGCACTAACCAATGAAAATAATTGGTACACAGGTATTTCATGCCAAAATATGACTTTGAGAAATTCTCATAATTGTTCCCAAAGGTCAACCAATCAGAAACCAACCAGTACCTACTGATGCAATCCTGTAACTTTTGTCTTTAAAACCTAGAAGTAGACAGGGAACTTTACTCCGTTTGGAGGCTGCTTGCTTTGACAACTAGTCAGATGGGGTCCCTGTCATGGGAGGATGAACAATCCATACAATTAAAACCTTGCTTTTACAGTTTGGTGGGTCTGTCTTCCTGGTGGTCTCTGGGGATCTTTGCAACTTGGGCACAACAATAGGATCCTCCCTGTTATGTCCAGAGTGTCCCCCAAAATGGTGGTGCTGGTGACAGTGTCCTAAACAGAAGGATTCTGGCCAAGTAAACAGAAGCCTAAAGCAGGATTCTGGTTTTCTTGTTTGTTTGTTTGTTTTGTTTTTTTGAGACAGGGTTTCTCTGTATTGTTTTGGAGGCTGTCCTGGAACTCCTCTGTAGACCAGGCTGGCCTCAAACCCTCAGAGATCCGCCTGCCTCTGCCTCCTGAGTGCTGGGATTAAAGGCGTGCACCACCAATGCCTGTCATTTGTTTTTTATTTTGTTTTTGTTTTTTCAAGACAGGGTTTCTCTGTGGCTTTGAAGGCTGTCCTGAACTAGCTCTTGTAGACCAGGCTGGTCTCGAACACAACAGAGATCCACCTGCCTCTGCTTCCCCAGTGCTGGGATTAAAGGTGTGGGCTACCAATACCTGACTTTTTTGTTTTTTTTAAACAGGATTCTGTTTAACAAAGAACCTTCCTTAATCGTCCTTGAGCCTCCCTAACCCTGTCCCAAAGGTCAGCTACCAAGGGCATGGGTGTCTTGTTCCCAGTCAATCTGAACAACCTGTAACAGCTCAAAGATCTTGCTCCTCTGACTGCTATTTTTGATTTTCTTACCCCCCACCCCCACCCTTGGCAATTTGATCATGAATTAACCCTTCTTTCTATCCATGTCTATTCCAAGTGGCTGTGTTGTTCTGGAAGTCTATGAGACCCCCTGGTCAAGTTGAAGCAGGGTAACCCACACCGGGCAGTAAGTAGACAACATTTGAGACTGTCTCTACCTCAATGTGATTGAATTAGGTCTGACAAAATTGTCAGTTTAGACATACCATGATTTTTTCATAACAGCTTTTCTATCCTGTTTTTGACTGCAAGTGACCCTCTGTTCCATCAATTTTCTATTTATTTTAACTTTGGCATGCCTTATAGTTTACTAACTTACTACATATATTTAACACAATTCTGCCTATGTTTCACAAAGTGCACGCTTACTCATATCCTAAATTTAAAACATCCTACGAGCTTTGCATTTATCTCCTCAGCTACTCGCATACTTACTGGCTACAGCTACCACTTCTCATGAATTCCATCCATCCTTAATTAAGCTGCAAAGGCGTCGTTGGAGTGGAAAGCTGGAGGAGGCAAGTAGACAAATGGTGTTCTTTTCGTGCTGCATTAGACTGTGTTTTCTCCTGCTGAAAACTGTAAAACTACAAAAAAGAGTGTGGAATAAAGGGAGGAGCCACGACCCCGAATCTCTTATGCTGATGCAAAAGCCTCAAATAAGGCTGTGTCTTTCTGGGGTTAGTGGGGTTCAGAGACAAGAGAGCATTCCCTTCCTCCTACTTCCCCAACCTCAGCCTCATGAGCCATGTTGGATTCTACCCACTAGGGGCTGCTAATGCTAACTGGTCCTTAAGACAGTAGGGATGGGCAACTGCTGAGCATCCTAAAATGTCCAGGATGGTCCCTGCACATGTTAGCTGGCTCAGTATTTCAAGCCTGAGAAACCCTAAAGTGAAGGAATGTGGAAGGCACAGTGAGGATAAGGGTTCATAAGGAAGAAGCATTGGGGTGTTGAGGTTGATTAGATATAGACAACAAGAAGGAGAAGAGGGTTCAGGTTGCACAAGTGGAGCACAGAGCAGTGAATGAGTCCGGGAGAAAGAGAAAAGCCTCGGATGTTGCAGGACCTGTGTTTTGCTTAGCAAGTGAGGATGTGCAGGGTCCAGATGAGAGGAATCTAAGCTGGAAGACAAGGGTTGAGAAATGTCAGTCTATAGTAACTGCTACTTCCTTGGAGATAAGGTAAGTAAAGAAAACAATGAACTATCCAACGAATGCACGGGTTAAAATAAGAAAGGGGGCTGAAAATGAGTATTCCCAGGGGATGTGACTCGACCCTTTTCAGGGAACCAATGGGAATGGAAGCCAGAAAAAAAAAACAACAAAACAAAACAACCCCCCAAACCAAAACAAAACAAAAAAACC